TTAGAACACTAGCCAAGAGTAGGAGAGATCTTTGTCCTCCTCCAAATTGAAAAGACATTGAAGACACTGAAAGTTTTGTTCAAAGTTGTAGAGAGTTACGTTGGTTTTGCTCTGACAAATTAATCTTTGGAAGTTTATTTATTTATTTGGAACACTAGCCAAGAGTAGGAGAGATCTCTGTCTTCCTCCAAATTGAAGACACTGAAAACTGTAGCGAATTACGTTACAGATTTCTATTTTTCCTTGATAATTGATTTATTCGTTTGTTTATTTATAGAGGCTGGTTTGTGCAGAGTTGCACGTGTTAATTTCGGGAATATCAGCGTGACGCTGACACGCTGTAAAAACACTTTGCAGTTCAGGAAGCTCGAAAGTCGTGAGTAACGGTGAATTGCAAGAGTCAGAGGCTGGCTTTAATTCACGTCACACTTTTGACGACTTTGAATAACCCACACGTTCGCTGAGACTGAAAGCCTAGAACCTACTGTCTTGTCTGACGTCGTGTAAGTTGGTGCCCCCGGGAGGGAAACGAGAAAATCAAACAAATCGATCCTTTATACGTGAAAATACACTACCCGCCCATTCTAGGATAATCGTCATCCACGAATAATTTTCGTTATTTATTTAAAAAAAGACGAAAGTAGGATAAGTTCTGCACTGAATTCTACTTAAATTAATTAAAAATAAATCAATATGATAATTATAAAATATTAAAAATAAATTAATATGATAATTATAAAATATTTAAATTACAATTAATAAATTAATATGCGTTAAAGAAAATAATAGAATAAATAGATAAAGAAAATAAAATAATAAAGAAGTAGATGAACCAGCCAGTTTGTCGTTAATTTCCTCTCAGTTTAACAAAATTAATCGAGCTGCTTTTGAAATTTTTTAAAGTCTCTTCAATTTCACAAGAAAAAAAATAATTATGATTAGTAAATTAAAATACGTTAAAAAATAGAATGATAAATATATAAATAGATAAAGAAAATAAAATAATGAAGAAGTAGATGAACTAGCCAGTTTGTAGTTAATTTCTTCTTAGTTTAACAAAATTAATCTAGCTGCTTTTGAAATTTTTTAAAGTCTCTTCAATTTCACAAGAAAAAAATAAATAAATAAATAAAAAGAATTTACAAGAGAGGAACAAAAAATATTTAATATCGTCGTCGTACATGACACCAAACGGCGTGTAATTAAGGAAACGTTCATCCTGATATTTAATTAATCGTATTAATTACTCACACCGCTAAAAAGTCCTTCGCGCGGGCCACGACAGGGGACGATAATTAACAAATGATTTTTTTTCAGATTTTGTTCTCGGTACGTAATTACAAGGTATTTGGAGAACGGTCAGCTCCTGCGCGTGCAATTAAAATCGGGAAAAGTTCTCGCAGTAATTAGAATCTGTCGTGTGTGTACGAATACAACAAAGTAATGAATCTTCGGGCTTAATTGACCCGTAATTAATACCCTCGCGAGTCTCACCCCCTGTTTCACATATCGTTTCAACGCGTTCGCGAAATATGAAATCAATAAAATCTCCCCGGTTATACGGTGCTTAATTGTTAGTTATTTTCTTCGGACGTGCATCTCGTAGCTGACATGAGCGACAAAGAGTTTAATTTCTTGTATATATCAAAGGCGAGTTTAATTTCTTGTATATATCAAAGAAAGCAAAGCGTGTGATAAAGTATCGATACTGAAGGCTCGGCTCAATTTTGTGACACGAATAAATTTGGAAACAGTGCGTTTTACGCAAGATTATCAAGATATTTAAAACAACTATATACAGATATTTAATTTGACAATAAATGCACAGAAATCATCCTTCCAACTGTCTTTAATTCAGACTCACGGAGGATTTAATTCCTCCGCTTGGTTACTTTTAAAGTCGATCAAAATGATTTGGAGGAAATTAACTGTGTACATTCTGTGGGACATTCTAATTTTCAATTACGATTCAACGGACTTCCATAAGATGTTCGCTTCTACAAACATTTCTGCGAACAGTAAGATAAATCAGAGATCTGCTTCAAGAGGGGAAGATTCCGCTCGGCAGAGCCAGTGGTCCTATTATTGCCACTTTGGAGGCAGACCGCCGAAAAGCAGCCCCCGCCGAAAATAAAATACAGGCAACACAGGTAAAGAAGCCAATAATGAAATTTGATTACCGTTTTAAAGCGCGCCGGCAAATCCTCGCGAGAATACAAAGCACCTAATAACGCGCAAGTGAGCATCCTCGCCTGGCATATACTACACCAGCTTCAAAAATCGCCACTAATTCACAGGCAAACAGCCAGCGCGCTGTTTTCTCGTTACTGAACGAATTGCGAATAAGCTAATAATACACGCGGCGAAAAAAAAAGACTCGAGCGAAAAGCAGTATATTTTTGTGGAAATTGACAGGCTTTCGAGAAATTTGTTTCAACGTCCAAAACCACCAGAGTGGTTTAATCAAAGTGACAAATTTGTAATTAACTTGGTAAAAGAAAGTGCCATTTGAAAAATCTCTCTTAAAGATTTAGATTCTACGCTCTATTCTTAGTTAAGGTTAACCTATACATCATTGTCTTTGCCTCAAGTTATTTCAATGCTCGTCTTTTATTTATTTAAAAATTCTTAGTTCAGACTGACTGACTGTCTTTCGGCCAGTTTATATAAATGGAGTTTTACTGTTAATAACGTATTTATTAAACAGCTTAATATACTATGTTCTTCGTAGGCACTTTCATTTCTCTGTTGGTAATTCTACTGTTAATAAAAAGATGTTCCAAGTATTTTCTAGACGACAATACGCTCTTAAGCGAGGGTTCTTGTTTCTTCTAAAAAATCTGTCAATTGCCTGCGAACTACGTAGCATGCCAGAGTATATATCTGTTCATGTCTTACCCGATGATGCACAGGTCCAACCGCTCCAAGTAGCAACACCAACGATCAAACAATCCCTCCGCCAATCTCCAAAAATATTCCCCGCCGCAAGTGCGCCTCGAAATCGATCCTGGAGCAGTCGTGCTCTCGGAGCAGAGTCGGATCGCGGTCCTTGATGCTAGGCATGTATTCCTGCAAAGGCATTCAATCGTTAGTTAAAGGGCAATCCGTTAAAGGTGCAGAGAGGCATCAGTGGAAACGTTTCCCCGATGCCTGGTGCACACATATACACACACACACACACATACAGTACCCTAGCCAAAGAACAGACAGAGAACGAAACGAGAACTCGAGAGCAGAAGAGAAGAGAAGAGAAGAGAAGAGAAAAGAAGAGGAGAGGAGAGAAAAGAAAAGAGCAGAAGAGAAGAGAAGAGAAGAGAAAGAGAAGAGAACGAAACGCGTCCGGAGGGTCCCGTGCCGGCAGATGAATCCTAAGCAATTTCTCGCTGGTCGGGCCTCTTTGATGCTTTGAACTCTCACCGCGCTAACCGATCCTCCTGGTAATCACGCGGCCCTCGCCACGCCCCGAAAAACACCTTCGATCCTCGAGTCTCTCGCCTCTCTGCTCTCTTCTCAGCCTCCGCTCCTCACTTTGATCCTTTTCTCCGCTCGAAAACACGCTCTTTTCTTTTCTTTTCTTTTCTCTCTCTCTCTCTCTCTCTCTTTCTTTTTATCCCTTCTCGTCTCGTCCTGTCCCTCTTCATCCTAACCTCCTAGCATCCACTCTGTTTCTATCTCTTCGGTATCTATGCTCTTCACAGTCTCTTCGAAGGTTCCCTGTGTATTTCTTTCATTCTTCTCTTTTTTTCTTCTCCTTTATCGTTCTCGTTTTTTTTTCTACTTTTATTTTTCTCTTTTTCTTTTTTTCATTCGGCTCGGTTTGTCGGAGATTCGATCACATAAGAGACGAAGACTCCTTTCGATGGCTCGATGATGAGTCGTTCAAGGTGCAAGAGTTCGGACTTTTTGAGATTCGCAGGTTTCTCGTGGGGCGGGGGGGGGGGGGGTGAGGGGGGGGATGAAGGGGGCGCGCGAGATCCCAGCGTGCACGCGCGAGCGCACGAGCGAGCGTCTTTTCTACACACCTGTTTCACTCCTCGTTTCGGTTTTTCTGCCTGCAGGCCGCCACGCTCTGCGTTTCCTCCTTCGCCCGTTTCTTTGGCAGACGGTTTCAGGAAGTCAATGGTAATGTGCTTCCAGAGCTTCCGCTTCTTTTTGCCTCTCACCTAAAGATTAGTAATTGTTTAACTCTCCCAATACGATTTTTGGTCAATATATACACGTACAGTTATAAACTTTTAGACCAAAATCCATCTAAAAGCACATCTATATTTTAATCTATATAATTTTAACCTGAAGCAGAGTAAAGTTTTACCTTCGTAAATATATTTCTTTTTTTTTCCAGAAGGCCGTAGAATTCCAGAGAGGGAGGGAATGCATTTTGAAAATGTGCAGAAGAGATGGGAATGAATGGCAAATTCGGATATGTGGGACTGCTGACGCGGCAGACATTGAAAGTAATAAAATTTCAGGTTGATACGATCCCATTACCGCTCATGATGCCATAATCACAACCGTGGGATCTGATTTCAAGCTTTTTGATCGGCAATTCCGGAGATTGTATCTCTAACGACCTCGTATCGGCTCTTTAATTTTTCCCTCTTCCTCTTCCTTAGCCTTCTGTGTGCAGGATCAAACTAGGTACCTACGCATAATCAATATAAATTGTGCATCTCCCCGTTAAAAAAGGTGACGATAAATTTTCGTTTTTATAAATTTGCCAATTCGCGTTGTCCTTGCAGTTACTTTCACAATGACTCGCTGCTACTGAACAGCTCATTCTTATTTCAATCTTTTCCCTTGAATAATCAAGACTTCAACGAAAATTTAGTAAATTTCCGGATTTTAATCGAAATTGAAAACTAAAAATTGTTGAGAATATTTTCTTTCTTTTGTAGATACAGCTACAAAATTATTAATACATTTCTATACACTTAATTTGATATAAACATTCTATATAAATATAATATATTTCTATACACTTGTCCAAGCAAACGTGCGTGTCTTCCACATTACAATAATTATTTCAAAATTATTCCAAAAATATAATATATTTCTATACACGAAATTTCATATATTTCTATACACTTGTCCAAGCAAACGTGCGTGTCTTCCATATTGCAATAATTCACAAAGAAAACACACAAAAGGAAGGCTAGATGAAAGCGTGAGGTTAATAAGTTTACAGTGGGTCCCAGTAATAGAGAGCGGGGTCGGGAAGGGAGCAGAAGAAAGCGAAATCTCAGATGTTAACCGAAGAACTATAATCATTAATCAAACTCCCTCGCCCTTTTCTCGTTTCGCCGATCCTCCCTGAGCGATAAGTAATTCATTAGGCATTGACTAACTCCATCCGGCCGGTCTATTAAGAAGGCCAGCAAGAGGGAAGAACCGTGACGAACTGAGTAAATAATAATACCACGTGAAATTCGAGAAAGTCCGCTGTCTTCAGCTGTGAAACTTGCTGGCGTCGAAAAACGTGGAGGGGGGCGATAGAAATTTAATTTCAATCGTTCTCCATAGAATATGATTAGCCCCTGTTTCATTTTATTAATGACCGATTTACTTCTGCATTTTAATTGGAACAATTTAATTGCGCAGAATGACTTTTAATGACATTCTTCAATTTCGGTTGTTTGGAAATTTGGAAATTCCTTTTCTTCATTATATCTTCAGATTAACCGGCCGGTATTCATTCATCCAGTTGTAAGGCTGCGGTCCCGCAACGACCACGTAATTATTGCCAAAATTGAAATTCCTTCGCGAAACGCTACGTTCAATAATTACGGCGAAATCCGCGTACCAGCTGCAACACCATCAGCAACAAACCAGAACGAACAATCTATCAGAGCTAGCCGGCAAGAACGTGAGGAAGATCTGAGAACAGGATCAAGGACACGAGAGTAAAATAGCCGGGGAAGAACAAGACGAAAATCACCGAAGAACAAGAAGAAAGGCGAAATAGCCGAGAAAGAAACAAGTAAAGACAAGAAGAGAAGGAGAAGGAGAAGAAGAAGAAGAGGTAACCAAAGGAAATGGCAGAAAGGGGAGGAAAAGAGAGACAGGCTGTGAGAGGAAGGTGGTAAAAGGAGGAGAAGGATGCTCCTAATTCGTAGTTCGGGGCGGGGTTTTTTTCGGGGATAGAGAGGGAAGAAGAATGCCCGAAGGTTGGCGAGAGGGAGACAGAGTTAGGCACAAAGCGAGCTGAGGTATAAATTGGTTTGTTTGCCGCGGAGATAAAAGGGGCCGCTAAATGTTATCTTTAAGGTGTCGGATCAACGCAAATGTGGCTGAGTTACTCGTAATTATAGTATACACGGGCCGAGACCCTCGCCTCTACCTGCCGCGCCATCGGCCGCCGCTCTCCTCTCTTTCTCTCTCTCTTTCTCCTCGCTGCCTCGTTTCACCCCATTGGCGTAACTATCGATCGCGATCTGATCTACGGTCCAAGATACCGGCTGACAGAGGCGATACTTGTTTGGTTAGACTGGAATATCCACAGGGGGGGTTCCTCGCGCCGATCCTTTCCTCTTCATCCTTCGGTCCCTTATCACGCGCTTTCTTTCCCTTTTTTCCTGAAAAGAAAAAAAGAAAAATGAAAACCATCAGCAAGAATCTATAATGACAGCAATATGATGTATATTGTCTACAATTTAATGACAAATTACCAAATGACAATCGATACACTGTCTTTAAATATAAATGAGTAATTTGCTTTGAATATTTTACAGGCACGTTTGTACGTATTCTATGCAAACCTTTAAATTTTAGATAAACGCATAAAGATCTACAATCTAGTGCTTTATAGTTAGCTGATACTTTAAATAATTTTGAATAATCCAAAGTTATTTGTATTGCGCGCGTCAAGATTTCAATATCGCTGATATAACAGTTTAGCACTAATTTACTTAATAATGAAATAGTTTGTAATAAATAAATATATATATATATATAGAGAGAGAGAGAGATATATATCTATATAGTAATTACAAAGCGGGAGAACCTTTAATTAATTCAAATTTCTTAATTGTTAAATATTTTACGTCTACCACCCTGAATAAGATTAATTAGGCACTAAAAGTTTTAATTACATTCTTTTTAATTATGTTTAAGATATATAACATGTGTTGCAAGTGCATCCTCTCTCCACGTTTTGAAAGAAATGAGATAAGCAACAGCAAAGAAAAATTAAAATGTACAGTGGGAGCTGTGAATAATCAGTTGATCTTGGATAAATAACGAGGGCGCTCTTAACTCACTTATCAGGAATATCTGCAACATATTTCATAAAATATGGGTACAAAATAATTAATAATAATAAGATACTATGGTAAATATTTACTAACAATTTGTCAGAGAATGATTTTTCACTCTCAGTTACGATAAAAAAAAATTAATAAATAGAGAGGGGAAAATATGTGAAAATATATTGCTTGTATAGATCTGATATATAGGTTTCATAAATGTAATTTGCTAGAATAAAGATAAGGAGAAAAGGTTCGAGAAACTAAAAGTACCTAAACTACCTATCATCAACAGGAAAAAATTAGTGCATAGAAAACATTATGAGAAAGTATAGGTCCGTAAAAAAGAAAGTAAAGTATGTGTAATTTTATATATATATATGTGCATGTAGATAATTATTTGCTTTGAGCTTCTATTTAAGCTAACATTTTACGTCTACTAATAATAAAGGAAGATTGAAGATTACAAGTTACACAAAAGTAATAAGGAAATTCATTGGGGAGCATAACAAGCATTGGTCTCTTCTTCGTTTTTAATTCTCTCTTACATAAGAGATAAAAGAAAAGATAACAATTAAATTATCACTACATCAGCAAACGCAAAGAAATACTGAGTTATTAAAAGAATAATAACTATGAAATAAAAGTAGACATTAATAATCACTGATTTCTCATTTAGAAATTTTCTGTGAAATTCATAATTAATGTAAAATTTCTTATTAACAATTCAAGAGTTTTTTTATCATCTAGAGATATTTTAGACTTTTATATGGAAATTAGCAATTTTCCGTAAGTTTTATATCTGAAATTAGTTTGTAGAAATTAAAAAAAAAAAAAAAAATTCAATGACTTCCTTTCATTTCTGTAATACTACTGTGTTTTACAACTTCCTTCTCTTTATTTCCTTCGTCATAATATTAAATAAACAACATTATAGATCGTGGATAATTCGTTAGATAAGGCTGCCATAATTGCATGCAATTTATGTAACACAGTAGCGTCTGTTTTAAATAAAACACGTTTTAAATTAAACACTCTGTTGTAACGATCTAACAATATACGCATATGTAATACAATGCTAATTATAAAGAATTCTCAGTAATTAATTTGAAATCGATTCAAAAATTTGATTCCAATTAAAAGTACTTCAACTAAGACGTGTAACTGTTTAATTAACCTGAAATTAATTGGATCACAGATGGTTAACCCTTCCACTGCTAGATGATTTTACATTTAATAGAGGAATTAAAGAAAACTGTTTGACAAATGTAAAATTATTTGCAAATAAATATGTACATTATGAAAAAGCAATAATTTTGAAAATTGAAGAAAAAGAATTGTGAAAAAATGAAAAATGTTTTCCATTTTCATTCGGATTACTAAATAGCAAATTAAAAATTAGACATCTGCAACCAGATATTGGTGATATTCTAAATAATTACTAGAATAAAGTATCTGAAAAAGAAATTCAATTTTAAAGTAAAGTGAATTTGTCCTAAGTTTGTTGTTTTTCGAAGGGTTTACGCCTATGGGAATGCTTTTTATCTCAGTTTCCAACAAGATGAGACACCCCATTGGTGCGGCTTGAAACAGCCGCGCGTACAGTGGAGCCAACATTATAGTACAAAATAATAATTCATAAATTATACGCGCCGCGACCGTTTAGAGGCTTAGGTATACAGCTCACTGCACATGCAGGTGATTCTGCTGCAGGTATATCAATAAGCTTCGCCAGTTATAGCGGGTGACTTAAAAACATCTATTTTCTTTTTTATGATATGAACATATCTGATGATTTAGAATTTTAGTATCAGAAACTTATTGTATATTAATCACAACTATCACAATTATGAACTTTTCTCTTATACTGTGAATGACATTTTCTTGGTGTATATTATACTTATTTATCTCAATTTTGTAATACTGTTACTCAGCTTCATAATTTCACATGCAGCAAAAAAGCACATATTTCTTTATATTTAAAAAGAAAACTGTATTTTAAAAAATATTTCATTAAAATTTTATTATATTCAATTTTTTTAGTATTTAAAAGATCAAAATGTATGTACACACATTATGAATAAAAGCATCTACATTCCAAATAAAATAATCTGATAAAATAATTTTGGACACCTAGTAACTAACGGCATCAAGAAGCATAGTATTGCCATCTATTGTCAGAAATTTGTTTTATATTCACCATGAAACATGATGTTAAGAATGTTTTTAATTAACATGTTATATTTGAAATAATAAATAGATTTCAGTCTCCTAATTATATTAATTTTTTTAAATTCTACTTTCTATAACGTATCCTTAATCCAATATATAATATTTTGTAAAGAATTATGAATAATCAATAATAAAATCTAAATTTCTAAAACACTCGTTTAAGAAAATATTGTGAATTATCAATATGTTACAAATATTATCATGTTAAATATGTCAATTAAAATTAATTAAAATTATTTACAATTATTCATAATTCTTTTTCAAAATATGTAGACAAAACTTGTATTTTATACCTTATGGACGTTGCATGGAAAACAATTCATTGTCGGTAAATACAATTTGGACTTTGCGCAATGCTTTGAGGTTATGTTTTTCTAAGTTGTGTATCATCTGGTTCAGCACATCTTGAAATAACAATAAAAGTGCTGAATAACAGTTAAATTGGATCTCAAAGTTTGAAGAAACATGGAAAATAAATCAGAAGAAATTGCAAGAAGCGAGTGTGATGTTAAATTTCATGATTTTGTGGCAAAAGTGGGCGACTTGTCAGTCGCTTGTCACACAATTAAAATGGCAAATTGCCTTTATGTGTGGATAGGTGATCATAGTAAAAATGTCATGAATGATCTATCATTTGCAATTAGATCACCATATGATAAGGAACCGCTTACGACGAAAATTATGGGACCAATTGCCAATGAATTTTCAAGTAATCTGGCCAAAAGACTCGCAAAGAAACTTTCAATAGCTGTTTATGTTAGTTTCAATGTTCAGGTTGATAATATTTCTCTACCTGGCATTGAGAGAAGATTGCAAGAAGAATTCAACTCGCATCCTGAGATATTCTGATTTTATATTTACAACTATGTTGTACAGAAACATTCTAAATGTAATACTTTTATAATGTGCCTATGACATACGTTTACTACCATTGTATATATACTTGAGATTAAACTTAAGTGAAATAAAATATGTATTTTTATTTCTTTCAAATGAGTTTAAATTAGTCTAAAGCTGCGTAATAGGAGTTTTCAAAAATTTATAAATATCTGTTTTTACATGATTGTTCAAAATTTACATGTTTGTACGTGTACAGAAAATCAATTTCATTGCAAATAATTAAAAAATTACCTTATCAAATCGTGTCAGAGACAATTCTTGTGATTTAGATGTACGACGTAGATGATCTGAAAGTTAAAAATATTAATTTTATCGCAGCAACGTATGATGGTGGTATTCTTTAAGTTTTGACAAAACTAAATTACTGAAAATCATCGTTTATCATATTCGAAATTATTTTAACTCTTACCTAATACCTGCCTCGAAGACGGAGAGAATAATTTTCGCTGACAAACTTTAAGAAATATTTCGTATCTTCGTATGTACGAAATACGCGCGAAACGGTTATAGCTTAAATAACGATCGCAGCGCCAGCGGAGAAGCCAGGAATACACTTCCTGCGATTCTCGAATCGATATAATTCGTAACAATCGATTTATGATATTGAGATGATGTGTGGAATCGTACAAAAACGTTTTGAGTCTAATGTTTTTATAATGTGCCTATAACATACGTTAACATACTACACCATCGTACGTATATTTGATATTAAACTTACTTAATTTTCAAGAATTTTCAAAATTTACAAATATCTGTTTTTAAACGATTGTTCAAAGTTTATATGTTTCCACGTATACAAAAAATTGATTTTATTGCGAATAATTCAAAAATTACCTTATGAAATCGTAGATAAGAAACAATTCTCGTGATTTTGATCGATTTAGACGAAGATGATCTGAAAATATTAACTTCATTCCAACAACGTGTAACGGTTAAGTTTCAATACTTTGGCAAAACTAAATTACTGAAAATCACTATTTTTCATATTCGAAATTATCTTAATTCTTACCTAGTATCTATCTTAAAGACGGAAAGAATAATTTTCACTGACAAACTAGGAGAAATATCAATCTTCGTGTGCAGAAGACGCGCGAAACGGTTAGAGCTTGAACAACGATCGTAGCGCCAGCGGAGAAGCCAGGAATACACTGCGATTCTCGAATCGATATAATTCGTAGCAATCGATTTGTGTAATGAGATGTACGTATGTGTGTGTGAAGTGCTTTTGACGGCAAACATGGCGGAGGATATCTCAGGTAAATTGTGAATAAATTTTCATTTTTTATCAGAACAAAAATACAAGAGAAATGTGAAATCTACTTTAGAAAATTAACTCTGCGACATATTATACTATTTTCTTGTGAATTTAATTGATTATATGTATTTAGTGCGAATTGTTTGATTTTGAACATTTTTGGCGCCATTTATCATTAAGCTACTGGTACCAGTAAATTAAAAAGATACTTATTAAAATATTTTATGGATTAAATGGAGCACAGGAAAAATAAACTGAGGGTCTTATTAGGATGCAATTGCAAAAGTTTATAAATCAATCTCTTAAATTGATTTATTTGGCAACGGTGGAACTGTTTGCTATCTCTGTTCTTGTCGCACAAGGACAGATATATACATATGTGCTTGATAGACAAGAAGAGAGATGTTGTGCGACAAGAAAAGCAACTATTTTAGTTCCACTGTTTCACCGCTACGCGACGCTTGTGTTTCAACTTCCGTTAATTCATTAAATTTTCATTAGCAAAAGAAATTAACTAAAGAGATTAAGTTTGTTAGTTTTTGTGTTTGTATCGTCAGAATTAGACGGTGAGCGTTGCATTTAATTTATAAGCTGTGTATGTGAGAATTTGCGAATTCTCTTCAGTGAATAAAGGTAATTTGTTATTTAATTTTTTAGAAAACGTATTTTTTGATTGCAGCCTGTGAAATATAAGTCTCTTTCATATTATATAATTTAGTCAATATTTAAAGCTTTTCTTTATTATTGACTATATAATTCCTTGTTTTATTTTTATGTAATTTATTTCATTTGTATAGTTATTTGTACAGATTGTTGCTTCGTTCTGAGGGGAACTTCGAAAAACCAAAATGCCGTGATGATTAACGATCAACTGAGTGGCTTTTCTCGAAGGTATTATTTAGTGATAATTATTTTCTTGTTTTCTCTTCTTTGGGGATAATTGATAATTTTTCCCAGTAATTTGTATTCTTCCAGAAAGTTTGAATTTTTTCTGCGCAGACGCGTCTTTAGAATACCGCGCATTTAACGAACAAAACGGCCATATTTGATCAGCGCGAAGTGTACATTTGAAATTCGAGTAACGGAAATTTTGCGTTATAATTTCTATAATTTTGCGTCTTAATTAGAATAGTGAGAATGAGAATTTGTTAATAGAAAAGATTGCAATAAGTGTCTAAAAATTATGAACTACAAGTTTAATCGTAATTACAATTACAAATTCTTTTTGAGGGAAAATTTAACAAAAGTATGTATGTATGTATATATATATATGTGTGTGTGTGTGTATTTTATGAGTCAAGTTGTATCAAAATGCGAGGACTGAATAAATTGAATAGACGTTGCAAGAAAATAGACATGTATAGAGGAATAGTATAGGGAAATTTTTGGTTAGGAATCGGAGAATGATACGCTTTGAGAGGCAACTTCAGCCAATGCCGTCAGAAGCACGTGGGCAGTCAAGCCCATTGATTTCAATATTTATCCGGGTTCGCACGTGTGATTAAGACTTTTAATTTTTCAAATATGTTTCTCCAAGGTTTGACAACTCTTGTCAAACGAAAGGGGAGTTATGCTGAGAAACTCGCATCCTTTAGGATTGACAAAGTAAGTATTAAACCTGTTTTCATATTTTTGAAGTATTTTTATCATAGATATTTTCTCTCAGTTTGTAAACAATTGTTGATTTCTACATTTTTATGTGTTTCTGGCGTTGTTACTTTTCGTTGTGTAAAATCCAGTCATATTTTCTTGTGCAAAGTCTTTTTCGAGTAATATTTTTATTCATCCTTTAATATACTTTATATTTTCATTGCTACTTATTTTCTGTTCATTTTACTGATTACTTCAGTTAAGATTAACTATTAAACATGTGTAGTTTCTCATTATTGGAGACTTATATTTTTCAAAATATGTCGTATTGATCTTATTTTGTAATGTGTAATTTTGCTATAGGAACCAGACAAGAATGACTATAAAAGAATTCTGGATGTACTATGCGAATTCTTGATGAATCCAGAGTCCACAGAGGATGTTGCCGAATGTTTTCCACAGTTACTGCCAGCATTAATTTCTATGAGCATTTCTATGGATAAAATTTCTTTTAATGATGGGGATTTGCTTCATAAATTGAATTGTGTTATCTTGGGAAAATTGCTTCGCAAGAATTCGGATATCTTAGTGTATGTATTTTTATTATCATGTAGAATATTTTACATTTTGTGTTATTTTTTGTCTTTAATACATGAAATTATTAATAATATCGATGGTATTATCATAGAATAGATATTTTTATTTATAGGCAAACATATTTCAGGTTAAATAGCACTTTATTCAATATTGTAATTTTTTTGTGTTCTACAATATTTTAGATTGAATGTTTCAGATTGGAAGATTTTACTCAAGGATATATAAACAATATATTTTTGATATTATATTTTTCTATCACTTAAATTTAGAATTATCTATCAATAAGATGTGTAATGAATGTAAAATGTTTTAAAAAAATTAAAACTCTTTGTAATACAGTATTCTGTGTTATTTCCTTAACTGTATTATTAATTTGTTGCAGACAAATGATATTTTCTTATTTGATAATTAAAGAATTAGATATAAAAATAGTAAAAATTAGATATAGAAAAGAATAATATTAAATAATAGAAAACAAACATACAAAATAATTATAGAATTAGATGTAGAAATTTAAATGGTACAAAATTTGCAAATTGTTATTTTATTACAGATTCGTCCTACATTATTTTGATGTTAATCCAGCACCATTTGAATCTATAGAAGTTGATCGTAGTGATCTTTCAAAGAGATGCACCAAGAGAAAAGTAGTATCTATCACAGAAATATCTGATTATGATTTAATAACTGCTTGTTACGATATTCTATGTAGTTCGTCTATGTATTTTAAGTATACTTGGAATTGGTCTAAATTTTATAAATATCTGTCTCATGAAGATGCAGCTGTTAGATGGTAAGACAATGTGACATTGCTTTTCAATACCATAATCAGAATTATGAATAAAAAGAAATTTTGATAATTTTAATTTTAATTCAATGATTTCTATTGAAAAGAATCATCATTTTTTTTTTTTCTTACATAAAATGAGAAAGTATCTTGAATTGAAACAAAAAACTATAATTTTTAATTATTTTTCAGGGTAGCGATGAATTGTGTCGCTATTGTATTAGGAATGTCAGAATCCTGTTATCTATATCATGCAAGTGATTTTATTCCTAATATCGAAGAGTTTCAATTTTCAATTGAAAATGAAAAAGTTAATCAAAGTAATGTAACGTTTGAAGATACCGAGGAAATGGATCAAATTCTCGATGTACCCTCGGTAGTATCAATTGAAGGAGTTCTACTTCCAATATTTAAAAAGACTAGAAGTAGAAATGAATTGAATTTAGTTCCTGTACCATCTACCCGACAAAATCTACGGAACTTGGCTTTCGCTGTGTCTTCCAATAAATGCGTATGTTTACAAGGTGCGGTTGGATCGGGAAAAACTGCGTTAATAGAATTCTTGGCACAAGCTACTGGTCATGACGCAGAGAATTTTGCGAAAGTACAATTAGGTGATCAGACGGATTCCAAGATGTTATTAGGAATGTACAGATGTACTGACATTCCCGGAGAGTTTTTATGGCAGCCAGGAGTACTAACTGAAGCTGTATTATCTGGCAAATGGTTGCTCTTAGAAGACATTGATTGTGCTGCGACAGATGTTATCAGTGTTATTGCACAACTTGTAGAAACTAAAACATTATCTGTCCCTGGATACAGAGACTTGATACACGTAAAAAGAGGATTTCAATTATTTGTTACTAGAAGATTAACTTCTGCGGGAACACAGAAGTCGTTTCAAATGCCAGTACAAAAACAATGGTTTTGTGTTAACGTAGAATCTTTATCAAAGAAAGAACTTGTGACAATAGTTCAAGTTTTGTTTCCAATATTACATACTGTAGCTACAAAAATTGTTGACGTATATTTATTATTTTCTGCTGGAGACCATGAAGATGACACTGTAAATAATGTAAGGAACAGTAGACAGATTTCTACCAGGGATTTAATCAAGTGGTGTTCTAGAGCTATTGTTGATTTTGATGTATCTTCGCCTGCTTCAGCATTGAAAATCTTGCAAGATGCCTTGGATGTTTTTTGCTGTTCAGTGCCCAATTCTGGTATGTAAAGTATACTTTAATAGAAATATTTGTTTGAATGATAGTCGATGAATTATATTGCTTATTTTGCTATTTCAGTGCAACGTTTGAATTTAGCAATATCAATAGCGCACAAACTAGGTATTGTAAAAACAAAAGCAGAATTTTTTTCTGAAGTACATAAACCAATTGTAAATCTCCACAAAGAACGTTTCGTAGTTGGAAGAGCAAAGCTAGAAATAAAAAAGATTGATAGAGTTAAATTGACACCGAGAAATTCAAATTTTTCATACACAAGACCGTCCGTGTGTCTTTTAGAACGGATAGCTAGTTGCATTGTTCAGAAAGAGCCAGTTCTTTTAGTTGGGGAGACTGGAACAGGAAAGACAACTTGTGTACAATATCTTGCCCAAATAACGTGTCATAAATTAATAGTAATAAATATGAATCAACAGAGTGAAAGTACAGATTTACTTGGTGGCTATAAACCGGTAGATCTCAAGCTTCTTATCCTTCCGATTCGCGAGGAATTCGAAATTTTGTTTCGATCTTATTTCGCGATCGAGCCAAATAAAAAGTTTTTGAATCACATCGGACGATGTTTTGAAGAAAGAAAATGGAAGACGTTGACTACTTTAATGATTCATAGCACTAGCGCTGCTTTGAAGAGACTAGAAGCATCTTCGAAAAATCAGGATGAAATAGAGCATTCGAAGAAATGGGGAAAACTAGCAGAGAAGTTAGAGAAACTTCGGTCTCAGGTGCAGAGTCAGTATTCCTTAGCATTTTCTTTCGTAGAGGGTAGCCTAGTCAAGGCACTGAAAAATGGAGATTGGGTTTTGTTAGATGAGATCAATTTAGCTACTGCAGAAACGTTAGAGTGTCTTTCTGGTTTGTTGGAAGGATCTTGCGGATCTTTGTCCTTGCTAGAGCGCGGAGACAGAGAATCGATTAAAAGACACGAAGATTTTGCAATTTTTGCTTGCATGAATCCTGCAACGGACGTTGGGAAGAAAGATCTTCCCATAGGTCTAAGAAATAGATTTACAGAATTCTTTGTTGACGAGCTCACAGAGAAATCCGATTTACAACTTTTGGTGAGTTCGTATTTGAGCGATTTGAACCTGCCACCGGAAAAAATTGAAAGCATTGTTAAGTTTTACTTGAACGTAAGGAACGAAGCAGAAGCGAATCTTCTTGATGGAACGGGGCACAAGCCGCATTACAGTTTGAGAACTTTATGTCGTGCTTTAAGCGTGTCGGCACAAAATCCCTGTGGGAATATATTGAGATCTTTATTCGAAGCATTTTGTTTAAGTTTTCTAACGCAGTTAGATAGCAAATCGTACCCGCTAGTACAAAGAATGATTGTAAAAGCCATTTTAGGAGAGAAAGCTGCAAGTGCTATTATCGGAACTCCAATTCCAAGGCCGCGTGGACGCGCTGAAAGTTTCATGTGTTTTGAAAGCTATTGGATTCCTAAAGGTGATCTAGAACCACAGATTCCAGAAGATGTGAGTTTGTATTTTAATAAGTATTCTCGAAAACGAATTTTATAGATGAGATAATAAATAAAAATTTTACTCTCTCTGTGATTTCAGTATATTCTCACAGAAACAGTAAAGCAGAATTTGAAAGATTTAGTGCGAGTGGTATCCATTGGTAAAATGCCTGTATTATTGCAAGGTGATACGTCTGTTGGAAAGACCAGTTTGATAACATACTTGGCAAAAGCTTCTGGACATGTCTGTGTTAGAATTAACAATCACGAACACACTGATTTGCAAGAATACGTGGGGACTTATGTAGCTGATTCATCAGGAAAATTAGTTTTTAAAGAGGGTATTTTAGTGGACGCTATGCGTAAAGGTATGGTGAATTTTATTTTTAATTATCCTTTTTATTATAGCATTCGACTACTCTAATTCCACTATATTAAGAAACATTATATTTCCATCTTAATATATTTTTAATATTCTTCAGGATACTGGATAATTTTGGACGAGTTAAATTTAGCACCTAGCGATGTTTTGGAAGCTTTGAATAGAGTTCTTGATGACAATCGGGAATTGTTTATTCCTGAAACTCAACAAGTTGTGAAAGCACACGATAATTTTATGCTTTTTGCTACGCAAAACCCTCCAGGTTTATATGGTGGAAGAAAGGTATTATTTTATTAAAAAAAAAAGATCTATTTTAAATGCTAATAACAAATAATTTATATTAGTTTTCGTTCATATTTATGTTATTAGGTACTATCACGTGCATTTAGAAATAGATTTGTCGAGTTGCACTTTGATGAAATTCCACCTACAGAACTTCAAGTGATTCTACATAAAAGATGTAAGATGCCAGAAACATATTGCAAACAAGTGATCAATGTAATGACAGAGCTCCAAGTACGAAGAAAGAGCACTGCAACTTTTGCCGGGAAAAAAGGTGAATTGTTGTCTTAATAAATTAATATTAAATTTTTTATTTGAAATATAATTTTTTCTTTTTTTTTTTTTTAAAGGATTTATAACTCTTAGAGATTTGTTCCGCTGGGCTGAACGATATCATCTCGCACCCACTGTTGGAAGCGGTTTTTACGATTGGAGTCAACACTTAGCCGACGAAGGATATCTGGTTCTCTCTTCAAAAGTTCGTCATCCAGAAGAATGTCTAGAAATCATAGAAGTATTAAAGAAACATCTAAAAAGAGATGTTGTTCCAGATAATCTATTTTCACTCTCTGAAACGACTTCTACCGTGACTAAGCCAATCTTGGAATCTCTTCTATTAAGAAAGATTCCAGGATTTGAACATATAGTCTGGACATATCAAATGCGTAAAATGGCGGTACTTCTTTCGAAGGCGTGTGAGTTCAAAGAGCCGGTACTATTAATTGGCGAAACAGGTGGTGGCAAAACGACAGTGTGTCAACTGCTGTCTGTGATTAGGCAACAAGAACTTAGTGTTGTTAACTGCCACATGCATACAGAGGCTTCGGATTTTCTCGGAAGTCTCCGTCCAGTTAGAGAACACAGAGAAAACCAGAAGCTGTTTGAATGGGTCGATGGCCCTTTAGTGAAATCAATGAAAAACGGAGGCTTGTTTTTGGTAGACGAAATTTCTCTGGCGGATGACAGCGTACTCGAAAGGCTAAATTCTCTTTTAGGTAATCTTCTTCTCGTGTTTAATTGCGTTACAAATGATTTAATTATAATATATATATATTTTTATTAACAAGATTATTTTATTTTCTCTAGAACCTGAACGTAAACTTTTAATTGCTGAAAAACCATCAGCCGAAGTAAACGCAACAGTAACTGCACATGAAAATTTCGTCTTCGTTGGCACAATGAATCCCGGCGGTGATTATGGTAAAAAGGAACTTTCACCCGCTCTTAGAAATAGATTTACGGAAATTTGGTGCGAAGGTTGTGTTTCATCGGACGATTTGAAGCGTATTATGGTACATAATTTACATCAAAAATACAAGGCAACAGTTTCTACAATGATAATAGAGTTCATTGAATGGCTGAAAACAACAGAAATAGGGAAAAAACTTGTTGTAAGTGTTAGAGACATACTTACGTGGGTCAATTTTGTTAATTGTTGCGAAGATTTAGAAATAGAAGATGCTTTTTACCATGGTGCAGCTATAAGCTACATTGATGGGCTCGGATCTGGTTTGACTGCCGCAGAAAAGTATGTGTTATTATTATTTTAATGAATCATATTACTTAATTATATTGATTAGATCTTTATCATAATATTTCGAATTATTTCAGTCCAAAGAAGTTGAAGAATTTGAAGGACTCGGCGTTGAAATTTATTGAACAGCAAACACAGAGTACATTAAAATCTAAACTAGTGTTAAATTATGAAGAGTTTGACGTCGAAAATTACGAAGATAAATTCGGAATACATCCATTTTACGTCAAGAAAGGAAATGAACGGATTCCAAGCAACATAGGATTTGCTTTTGCAAGCCCAACAACCAAAATTAATACTCTGAAAGTTTTACGTGCCTTGCAATTAAAGAAACCAATTTTATTGGAAGGTAGTCCAGGCGTTGGCAAAACTAGTTTAGTTTCTGCACTTGCTAGAGCATCTGGACATCGTCTTCTCAGATTAAATTTAAGTGATCAAACGGTAAGCATTCCTTCTTTCTTTTTCTAAGAAAATTCTAAAATAAGATAAAATTTTTATTGCAATGTAGGATATTTCGGATTTATTTGGAGCTGACTTACCAGTAGAAGGAGGGAAGCCTGGTGAATTTTCATGGAGAGATGGTCCTTTCTTAAGAGCTCTCAGAAATGGAGATTGGATTCTTTTGGACGAATTAAATCTTGCATCACAGTCGGTTCTTGAAGGATTAAACGCCTGTCTTGATCACCGTGGCGAAGTTTATATTCCAGAATTAGGAAAGTCGTTTGTCGTAATGCCAGGAACTCGATTATTTGGTTGTCAGAATCCTCTTCGTCAAGGCGGAGCTAGAAGAGGGCTTCCAAAATCATTTTTAAATCGCTTCACGCAAGTAAGTTCGTTTTAAATTAAAAATCACATTAATAAAAACCTAATACTCATAAAAATTCAAGTATAAAATCTAAAGTTTGTTAGGAGTTTTAATTCAATTCGTTTATTTTCTGTTTTAGGTGTTTGTAGACGCTCTGGAGCAGAGGGACCTAAAATTTATTTTAAATGCACAATTTCCGGAATTACCGGAAGATTTGCTCGACAAGATGATTCAATTCAACGAAGAATTAAGCTCTCAAGTGGGAACCAGTTGGGGCCATTCTGGATCACCTTGGGAAATGAACCTTAGGGATGTCAGCAGGTGGTGTGAAATAACCATGGCATCTTTCAAAAAGTGTGCAAAGAGATCTATCAATCCCGGGAACGGTGCTCAACTAATTTACGTGAATCGAATGAGGACAAATGAAGATAAAAAAAATGTAAGTCACATAAAACTAATAATATGTATTTAAGATGATAGTATCTATCGATTTTGCTTTTAATTGCAGGTGATCGAGATGTATAACAAAATATTCTCACAAAACGAATGGGCCTTGCCAGAGGCAGAGTATCCGGTCCACTTGACCAGAGAGAAGGTCTTCTTGGGAGACGAAATACTGCATCGCAGCGATTCTGCGGTGTACGAGAACGACGATTTGTTGCTCCTTAGAGAACAGAAAATTGCCCTCAAGGGACTTGCGCAATGTGTTAACATGAATTGGATGGCCATTCTGGTGAGTAATTTTCAAACATGTTCAACATCCTCGATCAAACTTACACAATTATTTGAAACTTTTACTTTCACCGGAAAATGATATTGATAGTTTTCTAGTATTTAGATATACAAGTTTTTATTTTTTTAGTATTTAATTGAAATTGAATTCTTTGATATTAGCAGAATATCTTTCTACTATTTCCACCTGTGTGACAAATGTCGTTTATCAATTTTGTGACAGGTCGGTGGATCTGGAACCGGGAAGACCAGTCTCGTTCATCTCCTCGCAAACCTGGCTGGACAGAAGTTGAAATCGATCGCCGTCAATTCTGCAATGGACACTACGGAAATTTTGGGCGGTTTTGAACAGGTAAGTCATTTCTTTTTTCTTGCATGTTCAATGTATACGTAGTAAGACAGAAAATTCTGTCTGTTAATTGAAACCGTGCAAATACCTCCTATTTTTGTGTCAATTATTTATTGACATTATTCTGTATTCACTACGAACGAAGTAAATGATAATTAAATTAATTCATTACAATCAAATACAAATAATACATCAATAAATTTAATTTTGACAAACGAGATAAATAAGATAAATTACTGACACTCTGCATACATAATTTTACAATTTACGGGACACAAAATTCGTTGTTTGCATTTTTAATCACATAAAGTGATATAACAAATGACGAAATGAATTTTAATTAAATCAATTAACTTTCTGCTTTACGTTCCTTTGGCAAATTTTGCTTATACAGGAGTTACAATTTGCCCGAATATTTTTTAAGCTCGTTTATGCACAGAGCGATTTCACCAACTAGACTAATTTTGTTTCGAATGAAAATAGAGAGAAAGAGAAAAAGAAAAAAAGAATAGAATGAAAGGGGGGTTTAATGAGTTGGAAGTGCAATGGAACTTTTTCCTCTTTAAATTGAAACAATTTTTTCGTTTTTTTTTTTGTACTATTCGATTCTTCAACTCATTTCACGGATAATGGAATATGATATAGTTCTCCGAGAGTTTAACTTAATTTGCAATTCTAATTTACAATTAATGATTCAACAATTAACAATTCTAATTTACAATTCTAATCTACCAATAAATATTCAAACAACGCGTTTCAACTTACTAAGTCAATTTATGTCCGTATTGAAATTTATTATATTCGCGTGCGAAAGAATACAATTATATAAATTACACGTGTAGATGTAACAATTTGTAGAACATCAAATTTTCGCTGTTCGTAGTCTTACTTAAATAAACAAATTGTGCGTGATCTTTCTTACGGTCTGCAACACCAAATTTCTTTGTTAAAATGTTAAGTAATCCAGTAATCCAAAGCTGTAAGGCTTTGATTTGTGTGGCACTCGCCAAGTGCAAAAGTAAGTATGGCTATTTCTTTTCTGTTTTTTTCTTTTCCACTTAGAAAAGGTTTCTTTAATTTTCTTCGCTTTTTTCTTTCTCTAAACCCTCATCTTATTGAATTTCATGACACAAAGAACGCTGCCCTTAAAATATCCGTATTAAACATGGTAAAGGGAGCCTTTACTTTTATAAACTGATAGAGTGCTATTGTCAGCCTTGAGAGGCCAGATAATCACATACCAGGGAGGGATCAATGAGACTTCTTTTGGTAGAAGAAGCTTGCTAGAAAGCTAGAATAATGTCTGTATCTGGAAGATACATGAGACTTGAAATGCTTCCAATGCTACGAAAGAGATAAAGAACAATTTTTTTTTTTTTATTAAAATTTAATTGAAAACCATTTGTCGAATTTATTGAGAAGAAAATAGTTCCAGTATTACGTATCACAGTATCAATAAATGAGTATTATGTGATATATAGTATTATATGTTATATGATACTATATAAATATAAAATTTTAGTATACTATATAGTAAACTAAAATTATAGTACAATATATAGTATTATACTATCTAATTATTATATAATACTATACAGTATACTAAAACTATAGTATAGTATATGGTATTATACTATATAATACTATATAGTATAGTATATATTATTATACTATATAATATTATACAATACTATACAGTATACTAAAATTATAGTATAGTACATAATATTATACTATATAATATTATATAATACTATAGTACACTTATATAATATTATATAATACTACATAGTAGACTAAAATTATAGTATAGCATATAGTATTATACTATATAATATTATATAATAATAATATATTATATAGAATGTAATATGTTATATAATACTATATAAGTATATAACTTTAGTATACTATATAGTATACTAAACTTATAGCATAGTATGTAGTATTATACTATATAATATTATATAATACTATATAGTATACTAAAATTATAGTATAGTGTATAGTATTATACTATATAATATTATATACTAATAATAATATATTATATAGCATATAATACTACATACTACAATAATAATAATATATTATATAATATCATATAATACTATATATAATATTCTATATTAAATAATTATTTATCGAGTAAAACAATTATTTAAGTTCAGACGTAAGTGTAACTATTCGAATGATTATCTGTCCAACACGTTTGCTTAATTAGCGACCAATTAGGGTCCCGATTCATGCGAGAGGAAAATGAGGAAAATTATTATCCCTTGTCACAAAGATAATCTATCTTTATTATTTACACATCGGTTGGTAACATCGATCTCGATTAATATTATAAATGCAATTAATCCTTGTATATAATCAGCGATACAAATATCGTAATCGGTATCTCGTAGACGATCTTCACGCGTTACAGTTCTATCGATCTGCCAGGCACCGTTTGTTTAACCAACTTAACTTAATTGCCCTTAACCTTATGTCCGTTCTGGCTAACACTCGCTGTTTTATCTTAAAGACATTGCCTTACGAATGTATATACCTGATATATTTTCGTAAGTATACTCCGCGTTCCCCTACGAGAGTCTTTCGAGAGAAATTGACATTGTTTCAGGGATTTTCCGGACTTGTTATAATTTTCTTCGTTCTAGCTCCGTGGTTCTCAACGTAGGGCCCATTCTTCACATGTGGAGGGTGGGGGAGGGGGGATTCGAAAATGGGTTATAACGTTTAAACTTAACTTTTCAATTCTATTTCTTTCTAATTTGAATGTCATGTTCTTTGAAAGCTTGTTTAAACCTTGAAGTTGATTAATTTATTAAGCCTTTTAGGCTTCACTCCATGTTGGAAATTTCATTTTTTGAATAATTATAAGAATCATGTACGTGTCACAAGATTTTAGAGATTCTGTAAATTGAAGCAGAATATTATAGTTGTTTTCTAAACGACGGTTTACTTTGATATTACAAGTATGTAAGTTTTAATTCTGAGAAGTTTAATTAAATTTTAATTCAGAGAAAACATATTGAATCTCGTAGAATTATAACTCGATCGGTAATATTTTCAAGTCAAGCTTAAGTCAAGCTTTAACTTGAGAAATTTAATTAAATTTTAATTCAGAGGAAACACACTGCAACTTATTGAATCATAACTCGATCGGTAATATTTTAAAATCCTGTTATTACAGGTCAAGCTTAAGTCAAGCTTTAACTTGAGAAATTTAATTAAATTTTAATGCAGAGGAAACGCATTGCACCTTATTGAATTATAACTCGATCGGTATATTTTCAAATCTTGGTATTACAAGTCAAGCTTAAATCAAGTTTTAACTTGAAAAATTTAATTAAATTTTAATTCAGAGGAAACACACTGCAACTTATTGAATCATAACTCGATCGGTAATATTTTCAAATCCTGATATTACAAGTCGAGCTTTAACTTGAGAAATCTAATTAAATTTTAATTCAAAGGAATCACATTGAATCATAACTCAATCGGTAATATTTTTAAATTTTTATATTACAAGTCAAGCTTAAGTCAAGCTTTAACTTGAAAAATTTAATTAAATTTTAATTCAGGAGAAACGCACTGCACCTTGTTGAATCATAACTCGATCGGTAATATTTTTAAATCCTTATATTACAAGTCAAGCTTAAGTCAAGCTTTAACTTGAGAAATCTAATTAAATTTTAATTCAAAGAAATCACATTGAATCATAACTCGATCGGTAATATTTTTAAATTTTTATATTACAAGTCAAGCTTAAGTCAAGTTTTAACTTGAGAAATCTAATTAAATTTTAATTCAAAGGAATCACATTGAATCATAACTCGATCGGTAATGTTTTTAAATTTTTATATTACAAGTCAAACTTAAGTCAAGCTTTAACTTGAGAAATTTAATTAAATTTTAATTCAAAGGGAACACACTGCACCTTGTTGAATCATAACTCGATCGGTAATATTTTCAAATCCTGATATTACAAGTCAAACTTAAGTCAAGCTTTAACTTGAGAAATTTAATTAAATTTTAATTCAAAGGAAACTCAAGGAACGCATGCTCGTTATAAATCATAATTTTTTCGATCGGTAATATTTTCAAGTACGTTAATAATAAATAATAAAAGTTAGAAATTTCGGGCACTTTACGTGCTAAACGGAGATCGTATTTGAAGATCTCGGCCATTGTCAGCAAGCGTTCTAGTTATTACAGTTTACATTCGTAGAATCGAATTCACAGATTCTCAGCAGAGTAATTATATGAATTTAGCTTTACGTTCGATCCATTAGCGAAACGTTCAGCGTGATGACGTTCAATTGCTCGAATTGCGTTCTGAATAATGCTGGACCGTGCATTGCGCCGTTTTTCTCTGCGGTTACATTAGTAGCTGCAGTTGACCATGGAAACAGCCAATATTGGCAGTATCGAACAATTGATTATCCGATATCATTCGATTCGTGTTGCATCGTTCGTTGCTATTACGACGATTTCTTTATTTCTGGAGAAGCTTGTTTGGCAATTTTAACACAACGAAAGTACGTAAATCATTGTATTTAACAAATATAAATTAGTTTGACTTGTGGTTTTCAAACTTTTTCAATCATTTAGTCATTTAGTTGTTTAATTGCAAAAATGTCTGCGAGAATTAAAAAAAAAAAAGAGACAAAAGTAGGGAAGAGTATAGTTTTTCTCTCAGCCAGTTTATTAGAAAATATATATGCTTGGCGACGTTTGAAAAAAATCAAAGGGTGGAAGAACTTGTCAGTTGCAATGTTTCTATAAAATTTAATCGTGATACAATCGATTATCGTGAGTCTTCTATAAAATTAAATTACAAGTTCTACGAAGTTCTCGAAGCGATCATTACGCCCAGGAGTCCGAAAACGATGTAACATTTTCGTTGTTGTAACATTTTCCGACGTTAGAGATTGTTCGTAATTCGCGTACAAACGGTAAATCGAAGGTGCGCTGTTTTTTTTTTTTTTTTTTTTCATTCCCTTAGTTACCGCGTTGAAGGAAAAAACGAAAAAACGACGGGGAAGAAAAGTACTTTCGAGCACAAACGAGCAATTTGTGCGTTAAAACGTGTATTCTTTCGTAAGACGAAGTAGGTCGGAGAACGCACGTCCGGAAATCCCTAAAGTTTTGCATAGAAAATATATATATGTATGTATGTATGTATGTATAAGTATATATTTTTCTACACACACGTATATACAGAGTGGCTGCGAATGTAAATGTACAGTACTCGGACAATATTAAAGCTTTTTCACGTTTTTGATCCCGTATAATGTAAAATTGTTCAACAGGTTGAAAAATTTATAAATTACTACGCTAGACGATTTACAAAGACACTTTGTCTCACTTTGAGGAGAGACATTTCGTTAGATTCACTTCGAGAACGTTTCACATCCTTAGACGTTTGATGCAAAAGATCCTCCTCTTACGTAAACGGAGATTTTTAGTAATTTCATGAATTCTTAACCTTGCGAACAATTTTTAATAATTCATAAATCCTTCAACCGAGTATAGTAATTTATCAATCTTTTAATTGAACAATTTTTATATATACGGGATCAGACGTAAGAGAAATTTAACATTGTCAGAGTACTGTGCATTTACATTCGTGATTGAGAAATATATGCGAAATGAAAGATATTTAATTATTCAGTAAATATTTTGTAATGAATATTACTTATTAATAAAAGTATTTAGTAATTATTGATGTAATAAAAATACTTAGTTAAAGTAATATTATTTAGTAATAAATATTTTGAAATATTTATCAAAACTACCGCAGATGATGCTTATTCGTCGGACACTCTGTATATGCGTACATGCAATATTCCTGTATACAATATTCCGTATAATAATTGTATAATAACGAGGATCGTAAATGGTAAATAATATATAGTAGTAGTAATAATAATAATAATCATCGAGGCAAAATCTCGATCACTTTGAGTCCCCCAGATTAATGGAAAGCTCATTTCGAAGGTGCAGACTATCTAACTAACGTATACCTTAGCCTAGTTAACTGCTAGTTGGTGCGCCTAATGCTCTCTCGATTCACAATTAAAGGAACTATGTTTTGTCGGTGACTTTCTGCACTTCTCTACTATTTTTTTTTTTTCTTTTTTCGGTTTTTCTCTTTTTTCTTTAAATAATCGCTAGATTCTCCTCTCGAGTCGTTTTATTTTTATTTTTTTTTTTTACTTCTCCCCTGGCGTTACCTAAATAGAGTCATCTAGAAAGCGAAGTTCTACATGGAAACGTGCTTAGTGTTGTGGCGAAACGGTCACTCTACGTTTTATATTTTACCTCTTCTTTTTTTTTTTTTTTGGCAATCGATTCGAACATTACTCGTTATTTGGACGGTTCTTTGCAGAACCTTTTTGGCAACGCTTTTCTCTTTCTTTCTCTCTCTCTCCCGTTTTGTTTCCTCGACAGGGTTCTACGTTGCCGACCGGAAAGTGAACGTTCTGCAGCGCTTTTTTTTCGAATGTTCCGCGCGAATTTTAAAAGTCTCTTTTATCGGCGATTCACAATATCCGTTTGCAATTTTAATTCGTGTTGTCGATAGCAGAAAAAGAAAAGATTCATCGAAAAAGTTTGATTTAAAGAACTGCTTCAAAGAACATTCATAGAAGCTTCGATTAATTGTGAATCACCCCAAAGTTGAATTATTCTTTTCTTACAAAATTATACAATTGTTGCATCTTTGTTAAAGGCTCGCAATTGAACAAATGAGACAAATTTTATTCCTTGGTCGCTCTTGAGACGGTTTGAAGTCTTTTGAAGTCGCTAGAAAATAGAGATCCTCTCATTTTTTTTTTTTTTTTTT